CTAGTAGGTGGTGACTTTAACTCTAAACACCCTTCGTGGGGATTTAGCTCACCCAACACTAGAGGCCGTGCTCTTAATAATTTTATACAAAACAATAATCTAAAAATAATCTCTCCACCAAACCCCACTTACTGGCCCTCGCACAATAATAGGCGACCTGATGTATTAGAATTCTTTGTAACAAATCTTCCCAGCCATATAAACCATACTATTATCAACACATCAGACCTCTCTTCTGATCACACACCTGTGATCTTAACCTTAAACAATACCCACACTAGTACAACAAATTATCCGACGATCACCCCCGGTAAAACAAATTGGCAAAAATTTTCTAATACACTATCAAACCACATTTCACTTAACACCCCTCTGAAGACACCTTTGGACTTGGATAACGCTGTCTTATCTTTTACATCTGCTATCCAAAATTCAGCAAAAAACTCGTCTAGTCTTTCACCAACTACTCCTTACTCAGCACAAGTTCTACCCCCTCACATATCTCAACTCCTTATCGATAAACGCCGAGCCCGATGCAAATGGCAAAGAACCCATCTGCCTAATGACAAAACAAACTATAACAAACTTGCAAACTCCTTAAGAAATATCCTTCGGAAACATAACTCTGAAAAATATTTATCGTACTTAAAATCGCTCTCAAACTCCGACAACTCACTGTGGAGAGCAACAAAAAACACTCTAAGCGAAAAAATTAAAATACCTCCCCTACGTAACCCTGACAATTCCCTAGCCATATCTAACTTTGACAAAGCAAATCTATTCGCATCAGATCTAGAAAATAGATTTACACCTCACCCGGACATATTAAATATAAATCACTGCCAGCTTGTTGAAACCACTTTACAAAACACCCTGCCAATGTGTCTTCCCACTCATCATACTTCCCCTTCTGAAGTCTTAAACATTATTAAAAAACTTAGAAATAATAAATCTCCTGGTCACGATATGATAACAAACAAAATAGCCAAAAAACTACCAAGAAAGGCAGTTTTATTTCTTACATACATTTATAACAGCATACTCCGCCTCTCCTACATCCCACCTTCGTGGAAACACTCAGTTATCATACTCATTCATAAGACAGGCAAACCCCCTGATTCTCCTGCTTCATACAGACCTATTAGTCTGCTCCCGACTTTCTCCAAAATCCTGGAAAAAATCATTTTAAGAAGACTAAATCCATTAATCAATGAAAAAAAAATCATCCCCAACGCCCAATTTGGCTTTAGAATTAAGCACTCTGCGATACATCAAATACACAGACTAGTTGATAATATATCCACATCCCTTGAACAAAAACAATTTTGTTCAGGAGTGTTCCTTGATGTCGCTCAGGCTTTTGACCGTGTCTGGCACGATGGACTCTTGTTTAAACTTCTCTTTCTTCCATCCCCTCTATTTCTCACTTTGAAATCCTTTCTCACAAATCGAACTTTCGTGGTAAGATGCGTAGATGAACTCTCCAATACCCACCCTATAAGAGCAGGCGTACCCCAAGGCAGTATCTTAGCTCCGACCCTATATAATCTCTATACAGCTGACCTACCACAATCCAACTATACTAACCTAGCCACTTTTGCCGATGACACAGCAATTACCTCTTCTAGCTCTGATATTCTCTCTTCAACTGAAAATCTCCAAGAACACCTGCTAAAACTTCAAGAGTGGTACAACATATGGAGAATAAAAATTAACGAAACTAAATCCACTCACATAACCTTCACTCTTAGACCTAAAAACATCCCCCCTCTCTTCCTAAATAATCAAGCTCTTCCCTTAGATGACTCTGTGAAATACCTAGGTGTTCACCTGGACAAGAGTCTTACTTGGGCAACCCACATTAAGACCAAAAGAAAATCGCTAAACCTCACACTTCACAAGCTTAGACATCTCCTTAAATCAAAAACTTCTCTAAATAACAAAATATTAATTTACAAACAACTCTTACGTCCAGCAATGACCTACGGTATTCAAGTCTGGGGAACTGCTAAAATCTCAAATTTAAACATCCTTCAATCTTTCCAATCAATAAGCCTACGTCTCATCACAAACGCTCCCTGGTATGTAAGTAACCGAACCCTTCACAATGACCTCAACATACCAATGCTAACATCCCTTACTTCCTACCACTATAAAAAATTCCATACAAACGCTCTCAACCACTCTAATCCTCTTATATCTAAGCTAGCTTCTCTCACAATTCCCGACAATCCTCCTCGCCGACTAAAACGGAACTGGCCACGCGATTTACTCAACTCTTAACATACAATTTAAAAAAAATGTAAAAAAGTACTAATCCCTTAAACTGAAAATTTAAATTCCTATTTGGAAGTAGTGTTAATGGACGCTCCCTTCTTTCACGTCGTCTTGTCTAGTGTCTATTTCAGCTCTTTTACCTATTGTTTTATTGTATACAGATTGTAAATATTGTCTTTATTTTAATAAAAAAAAAAAAAAAAAAAAAAAAAAAAAGTTGTATTATATTTAAATTTTGAGGGTGTTTTTCTTGATTTCGAACTGGAACTTTTTAATAAAAATCGCCAAGTCAAAATTTAAATGTTACACCTCGGACATTTTTCCCGTGTACGTCTTAATATCTATTGAAATAGATTTTATTACAACTATGGGCATTTGTTCAACAAAATATGTATATAATATATATAAATATGTTAAATACCAGGTATACCTCATTTCTTTTGGAAATTTCAAGACAAAGAACTTAAAGTTAAAGGTAATGAAATGTACATGCAGAGTAGCGTATTTATGTCATCGTTAATAAACCCAAGCTTTGAAAAAAAATATAAAAAAACTTCGTTTGTCATTGAATTGATGTTAATGAACGATGACGCGGAAAACAAGTATAATTGCATACAAAGACACATTCTTTGAAACAAACGAATAATTATAGTTTTTTAGATCTATTTGGGACTACTTATCGTCTTGTTTTTACCATTTTCGAAAGTTTGACTATTGTGTGGTAGTCATACCGACGATAGCTGCACCTACGCAGTTCAAAAAGTTTTTCGTGGTGAGTACGTGAAAACATGTAAGATATTTTTTTTAGGGGTAGCTGAAGAAAATGCAAGTAACAAAAAAAGAAATGTGTATCATTCTTATTTTTCTATTTCAGAAAGTTCCATTAAAACCAAACTTATATTTTCCCATGGACCTATATTTAATTCATCGATGCTCAATGAACGGGCAAGTCAAAATAAAATACTGTAATCCAATAATTGTTTGTTGAAAACTCAATTTTATATAAACTTCCAGTGTATTTAAATGCGAGGCCGCTACTGAAAAGCATATGAACAATTTAAATAAATTAATCTACAACCATCCCTTCAAGACTATCATATCGAATAACGTTTCCAAATCCATTACACACGATTCCGCTTACAAAACTTTTATTTTTTACTGTAACAACGAGCCTATTGGATATTGCGTTGTTCAGTATGTATAATATTATGTTATTTTACCTAAATTATAGATCCATAGAATTAGTTTTAATAAGTTTATGTTAAGGGAACTAAGATAAATCTAAAGTGAACTGACGACTTATTATTTACTTGAGGAAAAATTCATAAATAAAGTAGAGATCTAGATAACTAACAATTTTAAAAAAATGTAACAGAATTACTGGAAATGGTTTGAATAAGAAACAAGTAGATGCTGTAAAATGAAACGAGTAAAAAACAAATTTTAAGAAAAACCAAGTAGTTGCGCAAATAGAGAATGACTAAGATGTCATGGAAAATATAAAACAATGCTACCTATATTAAAAGACCGATATGTTTGACCAAAAATTTTAGAACTTGATAATTAAAACATTAAAAGAAATATTCGCCCGTTCTTAATACCACAATGCTCCATACATTTGTCCGGAGTATCGCATTTAAGATACATGTAACAATGAGCTTAATTTTGATTTTTCCTTTGATTCCCAACTTAAATTAAAAAATATTATATTGAATATTAATTAAGCTTACATGTGTGTGTTATAAATATTTATTTTTTATTATTTTTTTTTTTATATCTAATATCTAAGTTGCTGTATATTTTTTTGTATCACTTTAATAACTATACTCATTACCCCTTTGGGGTGTTAAGACTTTACATAAAAATAAATTACTGTTCCTGTTTTGAATTCAAATAATTGTCTAACTGTAGTACCAATGGAAACTTATTTAGAGGGTGTAATATATATCTTAAGGGGATTTGGTGAATCATGGGCAATTCAACCGCTTGGTCTCGCCTAATTGTAGGACTAAAACTATTTAATACTGATTAAATTTGTATAGGTCCTATAACGATTGTACAAAAATAAACAAGATTCGTAATTAATAGATTTTGGTTTTTGGTTGAAAGTGCTAAGCAATTTTAGTCATACATTTGAAAGTTCTTTCCGTGAACCATGTTGTTACTTGTGAAAATATATTTTATCCCAAAATCAAAAGCCAAAAACTAAATGCAGCACTAAACTTCTGCGTAAAAGTTTCTGTGTAATACCAACTAAATATTTAATTATATCAATAAGGCCACTAAAGTTAATTGTTTCCCTTATTAATTAAAGCAATTTAATCACGTAATATTAAATTGAAATTTTAGTTAATACCTTTTAAATAGCTATATTTGAATAGTATAATGAAATAATATATTTTGAAAAACCTCGATAATACCGTACAGTACCATTTTCTCCTATACATTATCGATGGTCCTATGAATCTAATATACCAAATGTTTTTCTAAGTATTAATTGTTTATGTTTCTTTGATAGAATTGTTGACGAGATGACATTTTTGAAAGTCAATTTTGACGTTGCAAAATACGTTTATCCAGAACAAGCCAGGAATCATATGGCGCTAATAATGAATATAGGTTTGCAAAGAGTTTTTTTAAAAAAAATAAGATATTTTCTAAAACAAGTAATGGAAATGGTCGATCTGAATTGTCTCTTCTATAAAGTTTATCCAACGAAAGAAATGATGGACCAGGTATGCAGCCAATCTCTTTTCTCTATATCAGCTTGTTTGTTTTGTTGTTCAACCTTCACTGTATATATTATATATATATATATATATTAACTATACTACAAATATTATTAAAGACTCTTTAATTTGTGTATTTCGGTTTTCGATTTCAGCATGAAACAACATACACGTCTTTAATCAGTGAGTTCATACCAGTTAAACCTCGTATTCGTATACAGTGTGACAATTATGTAATACCCAAAGTTGCCGAAAGCTTTGCACTGTACCATATGAACTCTCGTCTGAGCACAGTGGCCAATGTCTGTGTCGATGCAAAAATTGTCGTGATTGGCGCTTCCGACGTGGCCTTGTCGTTTTTGGAAAACTTAATTTTCAAGTAAAAAATGGCGCGTAAGGCTTTATCGTATTTCAGCTGGAGCTACTTATTTCGATTACAAGAGCTCCCGTGAAAAAACTAAATAACGGTTGTGATTGATGAGATTCTATGTAATTTTTATTATAGCGCATCCAATCATTATGTGGTATTCGAAAATATAACACTCGTGTCCGATCGAGGTATTCGTTTCAAATACGAGCTTAATGACTTAGAAAACGGGTTTTTGCCCATAACTTCACATTACAGTTATGAATATATGAAATCAATGTCGTTGAACACTTGGGTGAATGTCGTGACCGGTACCGTGACGGCTATAAATAGGTTTGCCGCATTACGTTACACCTAATTGGAGTAGTATTTATTTAAGTAACCCGGCAATTTTCGTTTTTATCGTACATTATTAGCTATATTTATTAAATACATAAATACATTGTTATTAAAAAACTATAATATCATTGTAAATAAACGTCGAGATTCGAGAAATTACATTGTGAAATTAACCAGGGATTCGATAGCTCTGCATTTTTTTTTTACACAATATTAGTTGTATTTAATTTGTAAGTGTAATTTCACGTTTATCACTATATTTCATGAAATATGAAAAAAACTGGAAATTTCCATAGCGTCAATTTTTCAGGATTGATAAACATATAATTGTTGACGAATCACATTACGTATATTATGATTACTTATTCTTGTTCTGCGGCGAACAGTTTGTGTGCGATTACGTTTGTAAGGATATTGACTTCGCGTCTAGTTCGGTGTCGCACGATGCGGAATCCGAAAAGTAGCAGACAATGTGTACATGTTTTCATTTTTCATTTAATATTATTAAGGCTGTTAATTTCAGCTCGGCAAACATTGTGAGACCTATCAAAAATCTCTTTGTTTTAAACACCGAAGAAGACGTCTTGCACGCTTCCATGTCTTTAGAAAAGCTGAAAGCTCATACTAAAGGTAATGACCGACAATAGAGGAAACCCATTATGTATGTACGTGCAGACCGAATGAGTTATAAGCAATTGTCACGGTTGTTACTGTTATCCACACTCGACAAATACTAATTAGTCGAACAACGAATTTAAACGTTTAATCGCGAATGTTGCATGCATTACAGATGTGGTCGTTTACGGGAAATGTCTCGAATCGTTAACGGTGATCAACACTTTACTCAAGTCGGGTATCAAAGGATCGCGCATTGTATACATAGAGAATAAACTAGATGAAAAAATGTCGTTCATCGAAAGTGAATACGTGAGTTAGTCAGTAGCACAATGTTAAAAGTAAAACAAGTTTTATTGAAATAACGATTTGCATATTTATGTTCAGATTGCAAAAAGAGTTTATGAAGAACTGGTAAAAAACAATGTGAATATTCATAAGAGTTGTAGGTTTGTTGAGTGGAAATTAAGCGAAAACGACACTCAAATAAATAAATTGACGTTTAAAAAAAATAAAAAGTTCATCAAATTTAAATGTTCTGGATTCTTCTGGTTTGGTCAGAAACGAATGAGCAACATTACAGGATACAGTAAGATTCTTTTTTTGTTATTAAAGTCGGTAAATATATATTTTATGTTCAATTCCTAAATCGTAACGTACGGATTTTACAAATATTGTAGTTTTATTTATTATATAATTATAATAAATTATTATAATTTGTTTGGGGGTTAATTACGAAAGACATTATGGTTGGTTTAATTATAACTGAGCTTTAAAGTCGCGATAGTTAAAGTAACAGTACTTTCCAGTTATTCCAACTACCTATTAGATTATTCTTGTTATCGTGACTACTTTGTTTTCCAATTATTATAACTTATAACATGGCTAAAAAACAATGTTTCTTTTTTAAATTTAATACCCTTTTTCTCAGATTTCAGTAAGTTATTATTCATTTTGACACTGTTAATCATACTGTCCTGAGTAACAGGCTTAAATCATTTGGTATCTGTGATCCACTTTTATAGTGGCCTTCTTATGTTAGTAACCGCTCTCAGTCTATCAAGTATAAAAACTATCATTATTTTTCTTTCCAATAATCTAGTGGCGTTCTTCAAAGTTCTCATTTAGCACTTATCATCTTCCTTATCTAATAAAATCCTAAACTTGGCTATCGATTGACTTCTAGTAGGATACATGGGAACTAAATTGAACTTAGTGAGTTATCAGGTATTGCTGGGCGACTTTATACTATCGTGTGACCGTATATTCGTGTAGTGAAAATATTACATAACGATAAGAGAACGCTGAGCCAATATTATTGCATTGGTTTAGTAATGATTCGGGCTTCAATGAAGTTTGACGGACATCTTGTAGTTTCCAACTCGTTTCAAACCAACGACGAGTATGTTTTGGCCGCCGGGCCAGTAGCCAAATTTAACCCCAATAATCGGGAGGATGGCATGTTGAGTCACAGTTACTTCAATAGCGTCGAAGTCGGATCTAATGTTGCCAAGACATTTGGAGCTCTCGTAGGGGTTTTCGAGGAACCCAGCAGCATTGAATTGATCCAACCGATATTTATGTACTGTCATTTGCCCAGAGATTACCAATATCTCTACTGCGCAATTCCGGGATTTAAATATTACGAAGAAATAACCAAAACGATCAAAACTGGAGACAAGAATACAGGATACTTTGAGATGACATTGGATGCGAAGGGCCTTGTGATAGCATTTTCTTGTTATTCAAAAAATGTAAGGTTAAAATACTATTTTCTTTGTATGCTAACTATTTTTTTATCACTTTTCATACCGCTTATCTATTTATTTCTTCACCTCTATTTTAACTTGCCTAAATTCATAAAATTCATCACTCGTTTATTTTATCCTTTCATTTATAACACCACATTTTATGTATTATCACTGTGTAAATTAAACCATATTTAACTCCGTAAAATCACACAAAATTGATTTGCATAATTTTAGAAATTTCATCATTTGAATCTAATCCACCTTTGCGGGAAAAGTATTTCACTATTTGACAGTATGCTTGATCGTTTTGAAAATAACACTTTACCGTGTCTTTTCGAGTACTTTGAAGAACCTTGGGCACAAGCAATTTATTCGGACAAATTCGACTCCCTACTGGAAGTTCTCAATATGCACTGGTCGAACGTTAAATTCAAGGTAAGACAATGGCCGCGTAATGTTGCCCAGTTAGAAATTCATTGTTTTACTAAAAAGCTTTGTCTGGTAATGTTTGTAGCATGTCACAAAGCCGTTATTTGAGAAAATCGGAAGGCTTATGTTGAAACAAAACGCGGACACGGTAAGTGATATTAGCTTTCAAAAATTATAATAAATATTTGAAACTCGGTTCTTCTGTACTTAGATTGCAGAGTTGGCCAAAGTCACAAAAGTTGAGGAGGAATTCAAAGATAAATGTTTAAAATTAATACAAAATGTCATGTTGAAGTTCGTCGAGGACAATTTAGACGAACTTCCCATGTATTCGCATCCCATAACCATTTCCAAATTATTGGATGAAGTGAATTTAGATTATTTTTGGCGTAGAGTTCGAGAGGAACACTCCATTGTATCGTGTCCGGCCAAATGCATGATCTGATGAACATAATACTTATAGTTTGATTTATTAAAAATAATAGTGTCACGTCTAGATTATCAATATTACAAAAACTAAAATTCTCTCTCTCTCTTACGTTTTATGTCCGTTTTTCCGCCGATCGGGGCTTAGACGGTTAAGATTTGGCATATTTGGGTTTTATAGCAGGCTAGCCTACCTAACGCTACCAAACAATTTGGCCCCAGAGAAAGGATCAGGTGTCCATTTTTCCAACAAGACAGTTGCCCGCCCGGAGGAACAAACCGCCAGTGGCCAAGATTCAAACCGGCGACCGTGCGTTGATACACTCTCACCTTATCTCACTCCACCACGCGCCTGCGCCACAAAAACTAAAATTACTATAAAATATAGTCATTTGATATTTATTTTGTATAATAACAAATTATTATAAAAAAAATCATTGTACTAATTATAATCAAACAATTTCAATTATACAGTGTCACTTAAAAACAAAAAAAATTGAAAAATACTCAAAAAAGTAAAGTAGGGTTGGTTGGGTAAGTTTTTTATATTTTAACAGCTTGCGTACGAGTCCGCAACATCACGGGATACATTTTTATGTATCATTCCGCGAACGCCTTGATACCACTTGAAATATTTTTCGTTGCTAACCTTAATCGATTTATTGGCAAAACATTCACTTGGTTATTTTGAATCAATTTAACCATTCATTCAAGTTTGTTCGTTGTGAAAACAACACATAGTTTAAAAATTTTAACATCCCCATCCCCATCCCTACCCCCATGCAATAACTTCCAAATAATACCTACTGATTTCACCCAAGATAATTTATAGTAAACAGTTAATACAGCAGCACCATCAATGTAGATATATATGAGTATATCAGGCGTGTTGTACTTTTTAAATAGAGGTCAGACGTGTATATATTTTATGTACATAGGACCCTATGGTCAATCGATGCATCAAATTTGTTGTGAGATAATCATTTATATGCAATAAATTATGGAAATACAAGAGAAAAAATGTTATTTGCAGTGAACGGAATAAAAAGTCTTCACATTAACAACCTTTAGGTTTATTTAGATGATTATATTATTTATAATGAGGTTTATTTAGAGATTATAATTAAAAAGATAATTAAGTAAGGAGTAAAGTATTGGCAATTTTCACACAATTTAATTTTAGAGCTTGAGCTATACAATGCACACACTGTATACTAGTTACTGATACAAAACTGAGGATTATTTGTTGTTTGTTTTTGTCAGATCTACTGTGATGAACTATAGAAAAAAGTATAAATTTGTCCATCAAAATAGTTTGCGCGAATCAAACCAAAGTGTCTTGAAACTGTTGTGAAATCACCAAATATTCAAGATAAATTGAGGAGAACTTTATTTAAGATTAAGGTTTTTAAAATTTTTAATTACCTAATCCAGAAGTTTTTAATAATTCATTGAAAAATTCTAAAAAAAAACGTAAATTTAAAAAATGCACAGAAAATACATAATTTGATCAAACACAAATTAGTCACACCCACGATGTAGAGAAGATAAGGTGACGCCACTCAACTTCTTATCAGTAAAAATCTGGGGTCGAATGCTTCAGGCATTTTGGTAGTTCAGCTTCGCTGTACAGGCGGCGCCACCATTCGCCCAGAGGCCGATATTTTCTATGCGGCTAATGGCGATAAACGTTATTATTTTTTTTTTTTTATGTTAATTATTCTTTATTTGAAGTTTTTTTTATTTGTTTTGTTTTATTTAGTAATAAGTATTTAATGTGTTAAATTTTAAATTGCGATAACTGCATTTTTTAACGGCATTAAAGTAAATATTAGCACTGGTATATAGCTTTCATAATTAATTTAATTACATTTATTCTGATCTAGTCTTTGTCCAGGACTGAGGACAGTTATTACTTATTTACTTCGTTATTTTAGCTACTCTGCATATATAAAGTAGTATACCAATACTAATTACTCATTAGTATACATAGACTATGTAACATAGTCATAATTTCTAGTTCAGAGTAATAGAATAAAACAAAACATAAAACTATAGTAGAGAAATTGCCAATAAATCCAAAAGATCTAGGTACATTAATCAATGAATGTTATTTGTAAAAATGAATAAGATCAACAGTATTTTATAATTATATATGCCGCGGTATATTATGTAGACACAAAATATAAACAATTATTGGTGATGCAAATATCATCCCTAGGAACACAATGTAGAGAATATATCTCTGCTTCGTCCCAAGCAATTGCTTGTATGGTTGGGCTTGAATTACACGGTAGTCGGGCTGTCGGAGACACTTAATTAGGGCTTATTAAAGTAATTAATATCCACCTTACACAAGCAATGCTTATTTTTCGGTGGAAAATTAAAATAATCGGAAAATATACCTATTGTTATGTACAGTGTCGTAATTACGAGGGGGGGGATGTCGGGTTCAACCCCCCCCCTAAGAGCCAAAACAAAAAAATTGTGAATAAGTAATATGTTATAAGTATTTATTGTATAGTTGTCACTCTCTGAAGTAATTTAGAACTTGAAGTAAATAAATATAATAAATAATAATTTAATAATTATATTTTAATTATTTATAGTTCTTCCACATAGAGCACGCATATTATGTCACCAAAAAAACAAATTTAATTGGTAGATGTAATGTGCTTGGATTTGCTCCCCATCAAAGATGCTATAAAAAATTTTATAATTCCGTTTCTCATATTAACCTTTTTGTGTATCCTCGCAATGTTTCCTACAGCTTAGATTTATAATATTACACATAAATATTCTGTGTAAATCAGTGTGTCAGGACAATTAGTCCTTCCCATATTTTATTTAAAATTTTCCTGTTTGCTTGCTTATTCCGTAAACAAACCGCACAAATTTGGGTTTTAGGAGGATTTTACTTTAAAGGTTCATTTTGAAATATTATCCTAGCTCTTTCAATATATAATATATTTTATTTTCAACGGTATCGAAATTATTTGTTATGTCGTTACTGCTAAATCCTCCGCATAGATAAAATGTTGTCTTTTGTCCCTATTGAGTTTTTTCCCTATGGATGTTTAGCATAATAATTAACTTATTTAGCAATTCATATATATATATATAGCTTTAATTTATATTTTCGGTGATCCCTTGGCCCATAAAGTAGTAAAGCGTCCGGTTTGATCATACAAAATTACCACCAATACACATTTATTATTCACAGCAAACGAATATGAACAAATGCAACCTAATGAAAAATTAGTAGCGATCATTAAGGGCTATCAAACCGTATATTTGTAAGTGTAATGAAATTTAAAATTTAGTTTGTCGCAAATGTGTATGAAATAAGATTAATTACAACTAACAACAGCGTATTAATGTTTAAATCGTATAGTAGTCGTGCACTCGATTAAAGCGTCTTTCACTGTATTTTGTTTTGTACTTAACCGTTCGTTAGATAAAAATATCAGTAAAGTGCCTGTTGAGTGTATTGAAATAATGACTTGATTTCGATGGTTGATAGGTCAATAGATGTAACCCTCAATTTTTTCGATTTTGAGATTATGATTGCAATCGATGATTATATAAATAGAAATACACATTTTGGCCAATTGTTGCAACCCTCACATTTTTTTTTCTGATCAAAATTTGACATTCAATTGTTTTTTTTATGTATCCAAAAATGACAAAATCAGTTTACTAAATGCCAAATGATGTAAGCCACTACATAATATCAATGATTTTAAGGCAAACTAATTTGTTCGTGGTCAGTTAGTGTAAGCCACAGCGTAACCCTACAGTAATTTTAGTAAATAAACAATTTTAGCGGTCAATTAGTTGAAGCCTCTTTACAAAAAATCATAAATTTTCATTGATTTTAATTACAATGTTTGTTCAAACTAAAAAATATATATTTTTTGGAAATTAATATTTAAACTGTAGTTATCAATCTTTTTTTCACTAGTTCGTTATCGTAGATATTTTTATTCAAGATAACAACGTTGTGATTACTTTTCTATCAACAAAATTTACCACTTATTATCCTACATATCAACTATCACAATAAATTAAACAATTTTTTTTTTGTAATAGTTATAGTAGTTAAACATTAAAAACAAATCGAATGTGTTTTCGGTTTTAGTTTATTGAGTTTTAGGATTCTTTCTACCATAATAAACTATTGATTCGTATAATGCCAATTACAGTAACCAACACTAGTTAATAACAATATTATCTCACAATAGTTTTTATTCTGACAAGTCAAGTAGCGTAACCAACGAGTAACTTCACTTTAGAGTAAATTGAAGTGGCTTAGCCTTATATTTACTTTTGCAAGTAGTAGGTACATTAAATTATACTTAAACTATTTTTAAATCTATTAAAAACGAATTTAACTTTTTAGTCCATAAAATCAATATGCACATGCTATTTTAGTGTCTCTTGTAAACTTTCATTTTTGAGGGTACGTCTATTAACTTATCAACTAACCATCGATTTGTTGGTCAAGGACATAATATATGGTTTGTCGTGTTTAGTACTAATTATTTAAATGCACAAATTCTATTTTTAGAAAAATGTCTGAATTCTATTCAATGATACGTCGTTCAGTATTGGTTCAAGTTGCCGATTCTTCGAGTTCGCTTGTTTTCATATCTTATTTGATTATAGTGGTAAGGGAAAGTTATGATAAATATTCTTATGTATTCGTACAGAATAATGGATTTATTTTTAATCACACAATAACATTAATACCAATAAAGTACAATGTTTATAAATTAAACCTTTAATTATAATTTTAATGAAAGTTAACCTTACGAATGATAATATGCTTATAACAATGTCATAATATTCACTGCGTCATTCCACGTAAAATCACCTAATGGGTGTGCGACTGTACTTAAAAAATGTTTGAAATTTTTATCATACACTCTTTATAGGTCTTTAATAACAAAAAAATTAAATTTTTTTTTTAATTTTTCAAAAAAATATTTTGGGGTCAAAAAGTTAAAAAGTTAAAAAAAAATATTTTGTTTATATAAAATTTATGTTATGTTCTTATGATCCATTTCATCTTTGAAGCAACTAAGTTTTTTTTTGCTATTAATTTATGGCATCAAACATGGGTATTTTGCTGAAAACTACCTACTTTAATGACCCACAACACAAATGTGACTAAACGAAAATTTTCGAAATTCATGCAATACTTACTTATAAGTGAATAGAACATCTGGTAAAAGTTTGGTGATGGAGAAATTATTCTAACATCAGTGGTAAGCGTTCAAATTTTACGATTTACACTAATTGGAAATATACACTATT